GATAGATAGATAGATAGATAGATAGATAGATAGATAACAATACCAGCACATTATCAATACTAAATATAGAATACTATAAACCAAAGTGTACCACATTATCTCTATCGATAATTGAACATAACACGACACAAATATTTTGTTTGATTGGAGTAAAATTGTGTTTTTCTTTTTGATTAAACACTTTAAAATTCAAGTTGAGCTCAGTGTCTCAAACTGACCACAGGAGGCAGCAGCGGGCCAGCAGTTCCTGTGAGTTCAAATAAAATTGATTTTCTGTTTGGATCTTGTGTGGTAGGAGTGATGTTTTAGTCACCTTAGCTTTTCTGTCAAAAAATAGTCAAAGACAATTTCTTTAGACCCAGGCAGATGGTTTAATCAGGTATTTTTGTGTGTATATATATATATATATATATATATATATATATATATATATATTCAATCATTTTAAACATTTGATGATGGTTAGTGCTTTCACTTCAGTCAGGTCAGGACAGAATAAAACTCATTATTGTTCAAGTTTACACCTGCACTTTTCCTACTGTGACCTGTCAACCTGGCTGCCGTGTAAAGGACGTATGATGGTCATAATATAAACATACATGATGAGAGAAACTGATGACTTTCCACATTTTGTCAGTTCCCGGATAAGCAGCATCCATCTGGAGAAACCACGTGGACCTTGCTGGGATGATTTTGTAGTTCACATGAGCTGCTAAAAGGAAGATGCATTTTTGGAGCATTTCATTAAAAAGTCCGACATGGGTTCAGAAAGACATGGGTGTGAAGTTCAGCTTAATGGGTGAAAGCACGGAAACCAGCTGTGAAGAAGTAGTTTAAATTTTGGCTTCAGAAGCGGGGAAAGAAGACATAAACGTTGACTATTTTCCCTCATTTGTCTGCGCGTAGAAGAATTGCCAGTGTTTCCATCATGTATCTGTCAATCGTCCTCCTCCCATCCTCTGTTCTTCCACATTAATGCTGCACTCATTCAAAGCAGAACTCCTTGTATGTTGGCTGAGAGCCTGTCATCCCAGGTGAGGTTTTGATCTGTGTGATGGATCAGCCTCCAACATAGAAGGGAGGCTTAGTCTCTGCTAAAGCAAAACCAGACCTGGCTCTGCAAAAGCTCTCACTGGTGAGCATTCATTCAGAGGCAGATGGCGCCAAGTCAGTGTCCCGGCATCTGCTCCAAAAGACATTCTGCTCCTGATAAGTCGTTTGGCTCCATGAACACGACTCGGAGACGGGCCACAGCACACCCGCCTGTCAGTGAGGCTGCAGCAACGCTGCCATGAATTTAGTGTCGGTGGGAAATGTTGCAGAAGGTCAGCATTTGTTTGTTGTTCTGTCGTTGCTTCTGTCAACATACATGATAAATTCTACAGGCTGACCCAAAAGACAGATTTCATTCAATCATGTTATGTTTTTCCTCTTACTCTACAATGTATGAAACTTTTTTATCTCCTTTTTTCACATAGACTAACTTCACCTTTAAACTGAGACTAATAGAAACAACAAGGGCTTCAAGCCTGACATCACCAGCATTAAAGAGAGAGAGTCTCAAAACATCAGACAAAGGACGCAGTGTGTTGTAGGATAGAATACTGTGGTCATCATATTGGTCAGGGTCAGCACTGTTTCTCATTTACACTTTAATCACTATAATTCTTTGTATTTCTGGCAGGGATTTATAGATGATCTGTATACATTTGTATAAATGTGGAGTTAGCCTTGGGCTTGCAGAAGTGAAGACCCAGATGTTGACTGGAGGTAGCTTTGCTGTTTTGAATGTGGTTTGTCTGAATGTAACAGGGAAAATACGGAAGGGTCTGACCTGAATATTTAGATCAGCATGTAGTCTCTGAAGATTCAGTTACCTCAAGAAATCCATTGATTTCTTTTGTTCATATTTGTGTGTACTTTTGGAAGGAGGGAAAGTGAACTCCTTGTCACTGTGTCACAACACACCACTGCATTCACAACTAAATGTGACCTCTGCTTTTAACCCATCACCAAAGTGAACAGTGGGCAGCTTTAAGGTAAGCAGTGAGTGGGGACGGTGTCATGCTCAGAGCACCTCAGTGGTAACTTGGCAGATGGTGGACTAGAACCTGAAACCTTCCAGACCCAAGTCCGCTTCCTTAACCACTAAGGCACCACTGCCCGAAGCTAAATCAAAGCTGTTTAAAAACATTTAATAATTTGATACTGAGTTATATAATACATTTTGGGAGATGTCTTTAGTCCCCCTGTCCCCCATTTGTTTTGTCTAAGGACTACAACAGAGTTCCTTTTGATTTTTCTTTAATTTTGGAGGAAAATTCAATTTCAGATTGAGTTGGATAAAGACTTGAATTAAGAATGATGTTTGCTTTGTTTTCTGTTTTACTACACGTACATGTGAAACATGTGAGGCCCCTAACATGGGACCAGACCATTTTATATCTTCGATTTCCAAATCTTGAGGCCTTAAAATTATAAACATTTCTACCATAGCCTGTTGGTAAGATGAACTATTTCCTGGTTGTTGTATATTTATGTATATTTTGTTTGTGTTTTTTAAATTTATCTTAAAACCATGATACACTATTGGTCAAAATTCACATTCAGACAATTTGAGACCTGACTGATTGGCTCACTGTGAGAGCCAATCGTGTTTAAAACATAGATTATATGCTGGCCAGTGAGTCCAAATCTATATTTTATTGTTATTAATCACACACTTTTGTGTATTTGTGTATCTGCAGCTTGTAGCTGAGCAGAGTGGCCCAGCACCAGTGTCCATCACCTCCTCCTCCAAGAGAACAACCCACACCTCCCCCCTTAACACTGCGTCTCTACAATCTGTCCCTCCCTACTACAGTACCTGCCATGTTCACGTCTCTTTCAAAGTATGCTTTATAACCAAATGTAATATTTCATACTTGGTAGTTATTCCTGTATTATCCTCATATGTGAGTTTTTCAATTCTGTCTTTACATTTTCAGGTAATAAATCTATATTTATTTTAATGTAAAAGAGTGAAGGGTGTTATAAAAAAAACACAGATAGACTTTATGAAACATCCACAGAGCCATGATTTATTATATTTGGTTCACCTTGGACTTTTTTGCCTGTGGAAATATGATCCTTTAAATATTTCGTTTTTGTTAATACTCAGGCCAACACAGGGTAACATTTTAGTTGTTTTTTGGGGGGGTTTTTTTCGTTGTTTTAATGGTTCATACGAGTCTCCCACATCCTTACTTTACGTGATTGTTTTGGCTCAGCGGAGTAAAGTATTTCAGGCTCGTTGCAGCCAAGTCTTGTTATCACTGCAAATTTCATCCTTACTCCTACATCTGCACAATTTCACACTTTATTTGCTTTTGTTCTTAACTTGTGTATATATTTCCACTGTCCAAGTATCCAATCACTTTTCCCGCATGATTCCTGCATAGACTTTAACCTTGTCGATAATCAACTGCTTCAAACTTCTATTTTGTTCAGCTGCAAACATTCCAGTCAAACTGTCACTGACTGAAAGGTTTTCGGAAAGTCAGAGCCCCTGCTTTTCTGTTAGCTCTGAATTTTTTAGCATCTTGTTTAACCACGGTTTTTTACTAATGTAATTCAGCATTAATACTCGTGAAAATGTAAGAACTGGTGGTGTTGCCTTTGACTGTATAAAAGTGCTCTTGTTTGGTGTCCGTGCCTGTCATGGCTTTGAATGTTGACATGGTTTAAAGTTCGGGTCACAGCTGATGTTTTCACAAATACTTTTTATTTAATGTGATTTTAACAGAACACCTTAATAAAACAGTGCCTATTGGTTTGAACTTGTAAGGGTTGAAATGACCGACTGGACAACCAGAGACTAGTTAATTATTTAATTTCCTAACCAATCATCTTTCAGAATACAGATCTCCACATAACCCTGACTTTACTTTGTCTTACCATTACAATGTGACCAGGTCTTATCAACTTATTCAGTCAGACCTGAAGATTTCTCTTTTTGCTAAGGCCAACAACTAATGGTACAGTAAAGACTACAACTAACTCATGTTTGTGTATAAGAAATGGACAGAGCCATCTCCACCTCAGGTTGACCAGACTTCTGTTTTTTTGTCATCATTGTCTGTCAACCACACACTCTCCAATCATATTGTCTGTCTCATTTACACTAGTCTGCCCCCCAACGTTGTGACCACCTGTTCAAAACTCTGTACTGCTAAACTGGGATGAACTGTGTGTTTCCCTCAGAACCAACATTATCATTTTTAGAAAAAAAAAATTTAGCAACCATGGTGGCTGTGTTGAAGAAAAACACACACACACCAGCATTTTCTTCCCAAGAAGAAACTGGAGGAGGGGTTGCATGAACCATCTATGTCCACTTGTTGCTTAACATATTGAGCCCACTGACAGATGCCATGATAATATGATAAAAAAAAAAGATTGTTGTTGTTGACTTTACCTGTCAGTGGTCCTAATGCTACAATTGATCTTTGTTTGACTCATCTTCCATTTTTCTTCAAAAACAACCAAAGTGTAGAAACTGACGTTACAGTCTGAGGCTGAGGAGCCAGTGGTCAGGTTTGCAGAGACTCAAAAGGCTTCTGTACAAACCAGGATGTGTCTGACTCTCAGGTCTGTGCCGGCTCTGTCCAGTTCTTAGGAACACTCTGAACTGAACACTTCACAAATGGAAACATAACCAAAGTTCATGATCCTGTTAAAGCACAAACAAAGCTGAAAATGTGTCGTTTTCAGACATAATGTGAATGCAGTGAACAAAAGTCATAATAAGTAGGTTTAATCCATCAGGTTAAATATGTTTAGTTGACAGAACCAAAAGAATGAACACCTGTCTGCTGTAAATAATGTTGTGTTGGCATGTTTTTATTTTGATTCATCCCCCCTGTGATTGAACTGTTCTAGGTTATTTATATTATTTTAAAGCTAATGTTTTATTACGGTTGTTTGTTCATGAATAAAACGTACATATTTTACACTGTAGCGCCACCTGCTGATTTATTTGGCTCTTGATGGTTGATGCAAATACAGTGGAACCGTGGTTGTGGAACGCCTCCCTTTTAAAAGTATTCGGTTCACGAACAAAATTTTTAACCGAAGATTGGTTGTTGTACCATAACTCGGTTGACCAACAAGAGACAATACCACGCAAGCAGCAGATGATGACGTGCTCGGGATTTACGTACACGTTAGGAATTGTTGTCTGATTTTGCACGTATTGCTTGCGTTGTGCCATTTATTTTTTCACATTTTTGAGGATGTGGAGATTTAACCAAGGAATTTCTAAAACTAATTGATGCAGTTTTAGATCGGCACCTTGTTGTGACCCCTCGGTGACTTTTTTTAACATTTGTTGTTGGACTTAAAACCCCGCAAATATGGCTGCTTCATAAAAACTTAGCCTGTAATTATGCTGGGATGACAGATGACAGAAATCACAGCTTCATCTCTAGTTTCTCAAAAGCAGCAGCGACACCTCTTGTGTTCGGACATATTTACATGTTCTCAGCAGAACATAGACCATCTGCTTGTTCACCAGCCTCCACTGCTCCACTGTAAGACGCAGTCATTTACTTTAGGGACCACTTTTAGGTGGCACTGACTGTATCACTTGTGTAATAGACTGCACATAAAAACTGTAATTCATCTGCTTTTTACCGTTTACTGGACGTTTTCTGGCCACAGACGTATAATTGCTTTTAATTGTCAACTCCCCTCCACTGTAGCAGTGGCCACAGTTTTTTTTTTAAAGTCTGACTTCTGAAGTTTAATAAATAAATTGCGTCCACAGTAAAGAAAAAGAGGCGTTTTGTGCTATTACAAAACTACGGTGTAACCAGAAGAGGGCAGTGTTGTACTACGTTCAGTTTATATTGAACCAAGTAACATTTTCTAAAGCACATAATTTGATTTTTTTTAACGTTATCTTGTCTGTATGTTTCTCATCAAATAGGAGAATTTTAGAACATTATTTTTCTGGAATATTTCAACATAATCCAAGTGAGCTTGTCATTCTTGGTCAGAATTAAAAAAATATAAAAAAAATCTTATTTTATATTTTATTAATTCTTATTATTAAATTTAATATTGTTGTTGTCAAAAATTATCTTAATTTTTCTCATCAAATTAGAGCATTTTGAGAATTTTTATAGACATTTTTACTTTTTTAAATTTTTGTTATAATCCTAATTTTGTGTGTCATTTTGGTCAGATGGAGAAAAACGTATGATAAAAAAAGTTTGGAAAAAATTCAAATACATCTTTTCTGCATGTTTTTTTTATCAAATTAGAACATTTTGAGAAGTTCTTCAGAATTTTATTTTTCATATTGGTCTAAAAAACATGATGAACAAAATATTTAAAAAAAAAAAATTTCAGATTAAATTAGAGCGTTTTGAGAAATACCTAAAAAAAAAGAATTTATAATTAACAACAAAATTCAATTTAGCAACTACTTTTTTATTTTGGTTGGATGTTGGAAAATTATAGTAGAAAAAAAAGTGTTTTCTGCATGTTCTTAGGGCATTTTGAGAACTCAAATTCTTCTTTTTTTTTCGGGAAAAATCCCAATTTAACTTGTCATCCTTGGTCAGTGATAGGTGTTAAATAAAAACTAGTGACAGCGTTTTGCTCCATAAATCTGTCCTTTATTATAAGTGAACACACAAAAGCTCATGTTTCTTCTGCTCAGTTCAAATTTACGTATATGTTGTTAATGTGAAAACAAAGTAACAAACAAAATAAACAAAGTCCTGCTCCCTCAGAAAACAGAGGGTCAGCTCTATAGCACCGTTAAAGAAAATAAATTGCTACAATACAACAGGATTTCACACATGAATGTAATGTGAACCAATTACAACTGAGTAAACTTAACTTTGGTTTGATGAGTTGAGGATATAAAAACTAAACATAGGGAGAACAGGCTCTCTGCTGTGAGGACAATTCTGAGTCACTCTGGGAAAAGAAAGCAGTGACAAGAAACAGATAAAATTCTATGGATCTCCCTGTTAAAATCTTTCTTTATTTTAGGGTAAAGCTTTAGCTGCACTGGAGTTAATGCATTTGAGCACTATTTAAAACATCGGTTTGTACTTCATTGTATGCAATGTAACACAATGCACACTCCTTTACATCAAGTTTTATTAGCTATTTGACAGTATCCCTATATTGATTATTTAATAATGATTATCTCAGAATTTTCCACGTGTTGACCAATGTTGCTGCTGCCACAGTTTTTTTTTAAATATTTTTACCGGTACCTCTCAAGGCTCTGGAGGTGATGTCCAAAGTTTCCAGGGTGAGCTCTGAACCACAGAAGACTCACAGTCACAGGTCAAAGGTCCACTGCTACACCTCAGCTGCAGCTGGTTCTTCACTGCAGCTTCAGTCAGAATAAAATAGTCACACTGTAGAGAGCCAGTTGTGTGTGAGTCAGGCTACAGCTGCTGTCGACAGATAAAAATAAAGGGGTGAAAGTGTTTGGACCAGAACCATTTAATAACAGGACACAGGCAACCATGCTGCTGATCAGTGCAGGCTTTTCTGTCTTCAGGGCTCAGGTCTTTCTCCTGAAGTCCCTCACAGTCCGCTGGGGGTGGGGGGTGGAGGGTCGGGGCACCTGCTGTCCTGTTCTTCTCCTGGTCTCTCCTCTGGTGGATTTATGTCTTTACCTGTGGGTCACCTGGTTGTTGAGGAGACCAGGGAAGGTCTGCTCTGTCTCTGTGCTTAATGAACCACCTGACCGAGGGGAATGTAAAGAAAAACACACGCTGTAAAAAATCTGTTATTTTTCCTGTAGTCTTGCAAAAAAAAAGAAAATATTCATAAAGTTACAAAAATTACACAAGACTAGATATTGATATCAGAAATAAAATAACTAAACGTAACAGGAAATTATTGTTTTTCTAATATTAAGATACCATTTAGGCACATTCACAACTCTAATCTGATTTCACAAATGTTTCTTTGTTGTTAACGAGAATAAAATTTCTGTTAAACAACAATAATTAACAAACTGAATTTATTTTTTGTAATTTGTCTCCTTAAATGACACATTTCTCGTGGAATTTGTAGAATTTTCTGAGAACAACATTATTATTATAAGACCAGAAGTAGAAAATGAAAAAAAGAACAAAAGTAGAATACTTGTAGAATTACCAGCAAATATGCTTAAAACTGGAGTCTTACCATTGTGGCAGCTGTACATCCACACACGGTGACCATCGTAACGACATCTGCATTTGACTATGTTGTTGGTGTAATCAGACTCTGGAACTTCATAGTTGGGATTAATTACAATCTGTTAAAGGCAAAGAAAAACAAATAGGTCAAGTTACAAGGCCAGATCGTGTGCAGTCCTGGTAGAAGAGAAGAAGATGAGGAACGTTACCTGGAAGATGTAATCTCCAGGTTTGAGCTCAGTGATGTCCACCCACTGACAGTCAATGTCGTGTCTGTACGTATCCCAGCAGCCCACTGTTATGCCCTGCTCTCCAAAGTTTGCACATTCGTACCTTTTTTCAATACCTGTGATAAAATAAAATACACAATGAATCAATCATTTGATTTAAAAGAAGCATTTTGGGGATGGGAGAGCCTTAAATAAAAAAAAGAAATTCATGTATAAGCAAAAAAACATAGTTATTTATTTATTTATTTATTTTTTTGGTGAGGTGAGTTGCCGGGGGAGGGCAGGGGAATTGGGCATTAGAGGCCTCCAATGGAATATGGTTCGGTGGACAGAAGTGTGCCTCTGCTGTAATGCTTGAACAATAAATAAGTCTTCAGCCACTAGGTGGCAGCAACTCATACAATGGTTTGTACAGATAAGAAAATATATAATAACAGGTTTTCAATCGAATTCTGTGGCCTACGGGGGCATGACAGAAAAAAAAATTTCAGCAAGAAAAATGTTTTGGGGAAAAATCTTATTTAGCATGTCATTTTTGTTCAGAAAAATTGTGATGGAATTTGGGGGCAAAAAAAGCTTATCTTTTGGCTACCTTTAACTCTTACATTTTAATTTTGAATTATAGACTGTGTTTCTTACACAGTTCAGACTGTGACTCTGACCTTCATCACACTCTGAATCCTCCAGACAGAAACTAGCTTTATGTCCTTCAGCCACTTTGGTTCCATTAAGACTGTAGAGGTCGTAGAGAGTGAAGACCTCCATGCTGTGATAATGTCTGCAGAGAGAGCAACAGAAATGTTCTATTCAAACAGGACTGCTTCTGTTTCTGATCAACTAAAGAATGGCTGCTTCTGTAAAATTTCCTGAAAAGTGTAAACCCTCTGTGACTCTGACCTGTGACAGTCGTGCCAAACCCACGATTCCCTGTTGGCTTTGGGCCTAAAATCCGACTGTCCGTTGTTGTGGATTTGGGAGGAAAACCGCAGGAGGCGGCGGTACGAGTTGGCAGGAACCTGACTGGAGGTAGAGGCCAGACAGTTCTCCTCATACGCACACTGAAGCATGAACATGGGTCGGTCCTCCATGTAGGTGGTCTCCTGGACCACCTGAGGGTTCAAGACCAGGTCAGGAGCAGCTACAAAAAAGAAACAATGACATTTTAAAACGGACGATGTTTCAAATGTATTTGATTGTATTACCAAACATCATGAACGTCCTACTCTCAGAACAGGAGACTCCTGCGGCGTGACGTCCTCCTCCTTTTGCACAGCTGATGTGTTCTCCGTGGTGCAGACAGTGAGACAGAGACATTTCCGTTCCAGAGCAGCGAACACCGCTCATTACCACGGCGTCAGCGCTCACCTGACCAGGCCAGTACCAGGTCTCCTGGAAGGACAAAACACGTAGAAGATAATCCTGCCAGGAATATCGCTTCTTCTGTATTCACTTCTTAAAACAACCAGCAAAAACATACATTGTTATATAATGACTGGGTCAAAGAAGGTGAGTGACAACTCCCATCTAGCATCTTTGGTAATTTTTTATTTACTATTTCAAGAGTTTTTTATTATACACCATAGTCTGTCATATTTGGTCAATTTTGTACATCCCAGAATATGATCAATTTTTTATTTTTTAGTAAAAACCCATTTGACTGATTCACATGAAAACAAAATGAATGTTGTCTGAGCTGCAGTTCTCCAGGAATAAACTAAGACAGATGGAAAATTACACCCTGAGATGTTTTGTGTGTACGATACGATTAAATATGATCATATTTTACTACCCCTATATTCTATTATTTTTACCTCTAATTATTTTTTTTTACGTTTTTACTTGAAGTATTTTCTTTATTGACATTACACGAACACCGTCATTGATCCTTTACATTGATGTAAAGGATCAATGACGCTGTTCGTCTTTATGTGAGACGTGATTTCATCTGTGCAGATTTTCAGAATGTAATTTTTAATAACAACCGCTAGATGGCAGACCTGTCTTTCAACCTGTTCTTAAACGACGTTCTTGGAGAAAGTACATACAGTAAACTAGTGGTTCTCAAACTTTTTCTACTCTGTACCACCTGAGAAAACATTGATCTCTCTGAGTACCACCATGATGACCAACAATAGAATATAGCAGCATAGACCTTCACTGTTAGCTTCCACCACACAGGAGAGAGGTTTAGAAAGATGTTTAGAAAGATGTTTATGTTTAAATGTTGTATTAATTGTGCATGGTATGTTTCAGATTTATTCAATTGAAAATGTAAATGTGAAAATATACATTTCCCCGCGTACCACTAGAGATCACTCTCGTACCACCACAGTTTGAGAACCACTGCAGTAGACTTTTCTTTAAGCATGTGATTAAACAATATTCTGTCAGCTACAAATACAGTGGTGGTCCATGAGGGCCAGCGTGGCCTTCTCTGCTGGCCTAATTAATAAGTTGATAAAAGTTCATTTAATTTTTTAATTTACTTATCCTTAATACATAAAGCATACTTCATGTTCTTCATATTCTCTTCATGTCATATTAAACTCCTTCCAGTGTTGTTGTTTTTAGGTTAGAGTTTTTATCCAATCAGAATTCAGCTCGCTGTTGCTAGGCTGTATGAAATCTGCCCGAGGCCTTCAGAATCAACAATGTCTGTGCAATGTAAGCGAACCGAAGCGACCGGACAGATACAGTTGATAGACAGTTACGATAGCCAATCAGATCACGAGTTGTTGACAGTAGGCCTTCTAGCTGGCCTCACATTGAACGTGACATGTATGCGTCCTGTGATTGGATACTCACTTACCGCCATAAAACAACAAGTAAGTTCAACGCAGATTAACTGATTAGCAGAGACAGAAATCTAATATATACTCACTTTTTTATTCCACAATGGCCAAAGGAGGGCAAAATGTGGATTTGTGAACTTAAATTGCTTAACTAAGGCAGCAATGAGAAACCAAAGCACGACTGGACACTTGCAAGCTACAGTGCTTCTAAAAATGCTAAAACCGGAGTGGATGCATAGCTCAACGAAAAGGTGCGAAAAGGATTTATTGTTGGAACTGAATGAACAGATAAACTGTACAACCAAGTGTTTTGGCGGACAGCTACTTGCGGATTTATTGATTTTTAAATGTGTCAGAAAATAGCCCATTTTGTAGACAGTTGGGGTGATGCAATGTCCAGTAGTGCTTATAGTGTGTTTCTGTATACAATTTCTCCAGCCGTGGTCACGTGGTGTCCTAAATTATGATATTATAAGAGGTATTTATTGAAGTCGGACTAAGTAGGACATCACTGAAGGCCTAGGTGTGAAATGCACGGCCCACCACTGCATAAATATAGGCTCATAACAAGAAAACACATTTTAGTTTTACTGTATATTAATGATCTTTTACATAATTATAAAAAGTTGTCATAATTTAAGGTGCCCTGTTTTTTAACATTTATTCTATCGGTAAAGCTCAATTGAAAAACCTGACCTTATAGGGAGTATTTTCTTTCAACATGAAAATTGTGACATCAATACAGAGCCACTCAGATCATTATGTTTGTATGTTTATGTGAACTAATGACTAAATATTCAACTACAACATGCATCTTTACAACAAGATGTTGCCAAACAGAGTAAATTGCATCTTCAAAGTGATTTCGTACCTGGAAAGCATTGCTGGCGAAACCCAGACCCAGTTGTCTACAGACGACCATGGCTTCCATGGTTCCCCAGCCTCCACCACACACCGTCCCCCAAACCAGAGAACCATTCTTCTCAACCAGAACCTCCACACGACCCTCGTAGGGGTTACGACCTCCACTTAGACGCAGCTGGCAAAACCAAATGTAAAACAATCGTCATAACAACTACAGCTACTGAAGGAAACAACCAGCTGCTCATTTTTTGAACCTATTTGAACAAATGGGCTCCAAAAATCCCCAAATTTTTTAACTCAGTGTGAAACAGAGCTGAGACTCACCCGATCCTGGAAGCCCATAGCAGGAACGTTACACCTGACAGCCGCATCCTCCTCATGGCTACAGTCCACAATCTCTTTGTTGAAAGGACATTCAGTAATGGACTTCTCAAATCCTGTGCAGGCCACCTCGTTCATGTGGACGGGACCCATTCCTGACAACAAACACCAAACAATGGCTCAAAAGGAGTGTTTCAAACCAAGAAAAATCAGAGAAGTAACAGGTGTGAGTTTGATGATAACCTTTAGCTCTAATGTTTGCATCTTAATAAAATGTCATTTTTAAAAGAAGTCTTATTTGACGATCAACATGTGGGTCTACTGTAAACTGCAGTGTGATCCTGCCTGAAAAAATAACTTAGAGGAGTTTCCATGATATATAACAATGGAATCTGTTGAGTGTGCTGTGTAAAAGTGGGACAGTGGGACAGTGGAACATTCCTAAAGTTGGGGGTCCTGACGTTTAAACCTGCTTTGCCTGCTGTAAAACCCTACTGGATTCTGGGTAATAACCAGTCAGAGAAGGTGGTAAAGTCAGAAAAGACCAATTAAGGAGAAGTCAAGTGGGACGTTTTCTCTGGGCTGCAAATTTTGGACATTTTTCTAAGACCATCATTAATTAGCAGCAATCACTTCTGCTCTGTGACTGTTTGTTTCTTATCCGCATGAACAAAAACAACTTTGTGGTCAGTGATTTTTTGTCCACTGAACTCATGACCTCAACTTGTCTCCCCTCTCTTCCACAGATTCATTTACTTGCAGTGAATGCCCAGGCGTTTTTTTCACATTTTTTCTCAATGCATCATCACTGCCCTGCTGAGTGAAAATTTTCACTGAGCCCAGTCACTTTTTCCAGCAGCGCCATGAACCGAGGAAAGGCCCTGAGGGATTGATTGCTACCTGAAATGTTTAAGAATGGTGGTTTAGACCTACCATTAGATGCTGCGTAGGCAGCAGACAAACTGTCATTCTGAGCACACTGCAGTGAAACTGTTTCGTGTCTACACTGTATTTATGCATCTCAGTCTAAAACTGCCCACATACCATGACTTTTTGCAGCTTGGCCCTGGATCGTTATGTCACATATCACAGGAAATAAGAATGTTTATGGAGGAGATGTAGAAACTGAAGGTTCAAGTCTCTCTCAGCAGGATGATGACAAACTGACAGGACTGTACCAGTCAGTAACTGCTCACAGGTTTAATTTGGGTGTTAAAGTCAAGTCAGTTCTATTGTATACAGCCAATTCACAAATCAAATTTGCTTCAATGGACTTAGGTCTTTGAAGATATGGCAGAGACAAGGCATGACCACAACCACACCCACATATTATCCCACTGTAACAAGTTCCAAAGTCAGCATTAGTGATATTATGAAGGTACACCAGTAGTTATGGCACTGGCTCCTCATGTATTTGAAGATACAAATGATGCACTGATACTACTGGGCTTACAGTCTGAATCCAGTGGTTAAAATATTCCTTTTCCTCAGAATTATTCCCATCAGGAAACCCCTGCCATGACGGTACAGCACCTCCACTGCCAACAGGCAGACAGCGGTCACTAGACTTTTACACAAACAAAGGTAAAAATATAATGTCAACACTACCTTGTCCCAGTCGGCCTCCAGACAGAGCCTCCTTGGCAGTGCCGAAGCCCAGTTCTCGACAGACAACGGTGGCAGACGCCAGGTTCCACTTGTCATCACAGATGGTTCCCCACTCTCCATTTTTCAACACTTCCACCCGGCCCTCACCCACGATGGCCCCACCGCGGAGTCGCACCAGGGCCTGCTGTAAAGATGAAGAAGACTGTACACTGTAAACTGAATTACCTGTTCAGGCTTTGCAGTGAAAAATTCTTCAATACTGATGTTGTGATTTTAGGTTTTTGTTTAATAGGAAGATCCAAGTATCTTGCATTGGGGATGCACTGATATCTACAGTATACTGGATTTAAACATTCAAGTGCTGATCAGTGAACATCAGTTCAGTACAACCACGTGCGTACCGGTCAGCAGTTTGCAGGTATTTGGATATATCTATATATTAACGTCAGAGACAAAAATAGGAACAAAATGCTCACATGAATCGTACTCTAAGATTTGTTCTGTTGAGATATGGGACAATGAATGAAATAGCTGAAGATGGAGTGTTTAAGTGACACTTTGTTTACAACCAATACTACAGACAGCATATTCCAATTCTGATATGTTCATATAATGAAAACCAAAAGAGCAACCTATCGCAGATAAGTTATCTTACCGTTTTTTAGGAGAAATGCCATGTTTGTAATCGAGCTGTGATATGCAAACTGTTGCTCGCTGACTTTTCATTCAACTTTTTTCCGTTATCTATTTCTGTAAAATGCTGCCACACTGTCGATGTCTTTGACATGGTAGAGTAGGACTGACTGTGAATGAAACACTTAAACTTAAACAAATATTGAACAAACCACCAGATCTATGCGTTCTCGTACTTTATTCAAATCTATCTTCAGGTTGGGCTAATCAAATGTAGTGAAAATGTGTGTTTTGACGACAACTTGTTATCTGTAAAATAAAGTGCTCTAAAAACACCCCGTAGATGGTTTTCCGATAATCGTTATTATCCATGATGCATCGTGCGGTCGGCCATGTTGTGTGACAAAAGATGCGAACAGGTAAACGTAAACAATCGATAATGAGAACAAAAGACAAAAATATTAAATCGCCGGAGGGATATCATACAAAATTGTTGTATAGAGATTAACTGGACACAGTTACAAAGGCAGTATACTTAGACAAGTTGAAAAAAAATCAATGGAAAATACACATACAAAGTCAACAAATAGTACAGTGTGTTATTGTAAATTTTGTTTTAAAAACGGATTTTTTCTAATCTTTAAATTTAAATAGCACATTAGAGAAGTTTTTGAATTGTAAATCCAGATTATGCCTCATATTCCAGATGAACAGCTGCTAGAAAACCTTAAATGTAGAACATAAAGGTGTTTGAGTTTGACTTGAAAAAATCTGGTTCTGTTTGGAAGTACTAACTGGGTGGCTTCATGTTTATAGAACACACAATAAGTGTGGTTCTCCTGTTCTGCTTAGACCAAGTGGAAGTGCTTTATTTTACAAGTACACGCAGCTTAATCTGACCGACTGGTATTTATATAAACACTAAGTAAAAGCCACAAATCTTAATGTGTGGCCTCTGAGACCTCTGCTCCCACTGTGCACTTCCTCCACCAAAACATTTAACCCAAAACTAGAAATGAACCTGGAGTCGTGTTGGAGGAAATAAAGTCTTTGTGTCCAGTGATATAATTAATCTAGTGAAAATGAGCCTTTTGGAATCAAAGACTAAACCACCACGGCTCCTGTCACTGATCCACCCTCTGATTACCCCTGTGGTTGGAGGACAGACCTAAGTCTGTCTTTCTTCTTCTGGGATCGGCAGGCTCCTGTGGGTAAAGGCCGAGCCCTGAGATGTTCATTTGTAGTCTCCAGCATGCTGCGGGTTCAGCACTGCGTCTGTCCCTCTGTTTAGGACCAGTCTGCTGTGGGAGACCCACCCTAGAGGCCGATTATCACTGATGTCATACTAGATTCTGGGGTCAATGTCACTGACACAGTACTGCCTACATGACCTTAAACCACATGCAGTGTAATTAGTGGAGATGCGAAGGTGCATGATTTAGTCATTGGCTTTTTCCTTCACACCAAGAGGAGACATAACTGTATTACTGTAATCTGCTGGCAGATTAAGGACATATTTATGTCCAACTTGGATTGAAGGCCTATGGATATAATCTCTGAATAGCTGGAAGCCCCTGTGTTTGCTCTAACCATCATCTGTAGATAATGAAGATTAACTGATATAACTGTTAAATGAAGCTCAATTTCCCAACAAAATTTGAAATGAATGACAAAATCTGGAGAGAGGTTTACATACGTCTAAATGTGGAAATGACCTACTGTAATTTTGTACTAGCTGATGCTCAGTATTCTAAGTGCATCAACACAGTCATTAAAACCTTGGGATTATGTGGTCACAACAGCTGGCTGGAAGTTTTATCAGACATGAAGTTTTCTTTCCTGAAGTATTTGGGGGGAAAAAAAATATCCTCCTTGTCTCCGGGAAGAGAAGTGGAAGAAATGAGCGACGTGAGGTCAGACACAAAGTTCATTTGTGGAACGTGACAGAGAGCAGGCAGCAGCAGAAGCTGGATGAAGCTGCTCAGAGATGTTTATGACTCCCTAATGGCTCTGAATTTTTTTCGTTCAGCCAGTTGTTCACAGACTGATAATGTGCTAATGTCCTCCTGAGTCTCTTCATTCTGTGTCAGTGCAGAACAATAATTCTTCATCCTCTGAAGAATCTGAGCCTCAGTAGCCTAAAACTAGGTGCATTGATGTATCCCTCAGGTCATAAGGTCAGTTTTGTTTTAAATTATTCTGTTTCAGATCCATTTGCCACAATCTTGATGTATCCCAATTTAAAAAACCCATTGATATACATTTCCTGCCATGTGCAAAAATAGCTTTAATGTACTCTATAAAAAACAATAATTAAGTGAGCTGAAATAGTTAAGCTTGGCAATACAGTAGCAAATGAACAGCTCAAAGTGTGAAATAGATCAAAATAATTATAAAGATTTATTTTTAGTTAGCTGCATGCTAATAGAGTAGATTTAACTTATTATTATATTATTTGGTCAACATTAACTAACTGGCAGTTGTTAGGATAGTATGCATGCTTTTATGAACTGACTGACTGTATTTCTGTTCAGCATTTAAAAAAAAAATCCAATAAGGTCAGTTACAACTTCAAATTCAGAGTTTAAAAAAAAATCCTCGCGGATGGAGTCGAATTCAGATTCAAATCCCCTATTTGATCTGTCAGCTGACGCTGACACACTACTGAAAAAATGTTTAAAGGAAAAAACAGGAACACAGGTGCTGTTTTTCCAGCAACCAAAGCCTGGAAACTGGTTCAATCAGGAGAGAGTTTAGAGCTGCTCATTTTTTGGTGCTGTGTATTTTGCTTTATTTACTTGTCCCTTGAGTGTCTCTTTATACCACATCACACGCACACACACACAGGCGCGCACACACACACGGACGTCAATGGGAAGAGTTTAAATCCCCCTCCCTCTACGTTGGACCAAATGAACTGAAGTGAACCTCTGCAGTAATTTCCTGTATCGACTGTGTTTACCCCGTCATTCTACTGGCAGATCTCAAACACCAGAGATTCACACAGAGAATGCTGGAGATGTTAGTGCTGTAAACACTTAGTTCTGCTGAGACTCAGTAGCATTAGAAAATACTATTAATATTTATGTGTCTTTCAATTAAAACCGGAAAAAGCTTAGAATAAATTTACATGGATAATATAAGACTGTCTAATTATTTTTGTCTGCTCAAACAATATCAACCACCTGGCCCAAATTAACTAATCAGAGGCAAAATGATGACAGCTACGTCTTAACCTGTCCTTGTCCACTGACAGGTGATACTGTCTTCAGCCCCCATGCAAAGAAATTAGCTGTAGCCGATGAATGGATGCATGGATGTTGAAGCTGGGCAGCACCAAGCATATCTAAAATCTAATCTACTCTCTAATCTAGGAAAATTTTCATTTCAGATTTACGTCTTTTTTCACCAAACAAATGGACAGAGCAGCATCACAAAACAACAAAAAGCACAATTCCTCATCTCTAACTCTTGTCTTATCTTTACTCTCTTGTGTATCCTGCTCATGGTCTCTACCTCTTGTCTGAAGGCCTTCCTGAATCCAGTAACCGATGCTGGAGCGAAAGCTCTGCCAGGAACACAGCTCACCACCACAGGCATCCCATCAGCACAGGTGTCGTTGGACTTGAGGGACACAGCTTGGCCCAGTCTGCAGCTGGACAAGTGGGTTTCATTCCCGGTGCAGTTAACAGAGAAGTCCCAGTATGAGGGCTTTCTCCTGCGAGCAAACATTCTGGACAGAGGAAAAAAGGCAAGATGAAAGTTTCTATATTTTTTTAAATGACATAAACAACAGAGGCAGAGGCAGTGGTGGCCTAGTGGTAAAGGAAGCGGACTTCGGTCCGGAAGGCCCCAGGTTCGAATCCGCCAACTGCCAGGTTGCCACTGAGATGCACTGAGCATGGCATCGTCCTCAAGCACTGCTCCCCGGGCGCTGACCACGGCTGCCCACTGTTCACTTGCTGATGGGTTAAATGCAGAGGTTAAATTTCATTGTGCATGGTGTGCTGTGTCACAATGACAAATAAAGATAAGTTTAAGTTTAAGTTTAACAGTTGTGTTGGGAGTTAAGATAACATTCAGAGTACTTTATATCTCTGATCACATATGACTGATGTTCTGCATCCAACTGCATATAACCAGCTCTGCTTGTGTCACAACACAGAGGGAGTTTGTTCACACAATGTAAGAGCCATTGGACTATTGCAACTAAAACATTTTAAAAGTGAGAAAAAAAAGACTTAAAAGCTTTTTTTTCATTAGATAATGTTCAGTCAAACACGTGGGTTACAGAGGTGTCATCATCTGCTGTGATTTACCTGCAGCAGTCCAGTCAAACACCTATTTAACTGCACAGTTACTTTTTATGGTAAACCAGGATTATCCTCTGGCTATTTGGCTGGTGTTCATTCAGTCACACTTTACCACAGACTTGTGGAATCCTCAGGTTTCCTGCAACGGCCTGGAAGCATGTACGATAGGTCCGTTCAATGGACGACCATTAGGCCAATTCTAGCCCACTGACGCTTTCATCCAGGCTAACAACTGTCACCCAAATGTTCACTGTGCTAGAAGACAACATGCTCATATCTGTGAATGGTGGACATCTACATAATTGAACCCATGCCAATGATCTGCCCGATCACACAAATGTCACATTTGAATCTCTTTTTGTTGAACTGACAGAACATTTGAAAAAATGAATTGTATTAACTTGTATAAATGTATTTACTTATTGTGTGAATTGTAGGCGTTTGTGACTGTGGTTGTCAGTTTGTCTGTGTGAGTGTGTGTGTGTGTGTTTGTGTGTGTGTGTGCGTGCGTGTGTGTGAAAAAGACGAACAAAACTCACCAGTCACAATTGATAAACTGCCTAGAACTGTACCCCATCAATGTTAAATATAACACTCAGCCATAACATTCATACCGAGGCCACATTGTTCCTAAAATATCTTATAATACCAGATATTATTTTTCTAAGTGGCCACTAGTCAATAAAAAGCCTCCACATCCAAACCACACATTCTGTTTTGTGTGGAAACACTCACTTGTAGACCCTGGCATTGTATTTTCTCTCTGCAGGGAAACCAAACATGCCACAGATGACTCTGCTGTTGAACTGCGTCCACTGCGTGTTACAAATCTGCTTCCATTTGCCGCCGTCCTTTATCTCCACGTAGCCCTCGGTCACAGGGATTCTCTTACGGTAGGATGACAGGATGGGTCGAATATGCACGTCCTCTACTTGTATATCAAGATTCTATGGAAAAAAGATTGACAATTGTGTTATGACAAAAGTGTTATAAAAAAAGTGTATTTACTTGAGAAAGACATTGGCTCTTGAAGAAGCTGTAGTGTGAAGCTGAAGAAGTAAATGGATCACTTTCTGCTTCTGTCTAATTCCAGTCACAGCCCCAGTTTTACGTCATCTTTTCAGGAGCCCCTGAATAGCTTCACTTGGTGTGGAGTAGCTTCATAGAATTTAAGGTGTTTAGAAATGAATGTAACGTTCCTTATGATGTAGTGTACGATCTCCAACACCGGTGTTAGCTCTTAATAATGGCAGATCACAACAGTCTTGTGAACTCTGATCTGATTAAAAGAACAAAGTTCTTTTAATCGGCAGCAGTCTTGTCAGTTCTCAATTGGGTAAAGATGTAGCATACAATCAATGTAGTGTCTTAACTGATTACTATACATGGCTCCAGTCACTTCATATTGAACTGTATAGCCCCATCTTTAACCCTCATGTCACCTGGTTTTAGTTCCTCTCCTGGTACCTGATAGGATAAAGCAGTTGGTTATGAATAACACACTTTTTTTGCAGCAAACTGTTTGACGTGTGGAGTAACACGTTATGAATCCACCATGTGTCCAGGGGTTTCTGTGAGAGCCTAATTTGGATTTAAATGTTTGGTTAATTGTTTCTATTTGAAATCCTAAGAGTCCCATTAGCCTTGTCATCACAAACATAGACTTAATGGACTAAAATTCCATGTGATGTAATCACACCCTACATCACATCTGCCCTCAGCTTCCTGTCTCACATAACCTGTTGATCACAGAGTGAAGTTTGACTTACAGCAGATCTGCTCTCAGTGTGCTGCTTGTAAGTGTTCTCCACGTAGGTCCAACATTTTTACAGTAAATCACCGTATTAATCCTGCAGACCGTCACCCTGTGGTCCCTGGAGGGTCATTTCTGTCTTTAACACCCACATGTATCAAAGGACTGTGGTCATAGGTGTCACAATTTGAGAAGCAGCTTGTAGTGTGTTAATGATCAATAAGAGGTGTGAGAATGTACAACTGTAAAGTACGTCGTGTGACCAGGACACGTGCAGACCAGGTACTTAGAACAAAGTATCCGTTAGTTTGGATACTTTGTTCTAAGTACCTCTTCAATAATACACTGCAACATAACAGGCCTTAATCAGTAGTAGTACTACAAACAAGAGCAAAGGGAAAGGGTCCTTCTGACTATTTCTGAGTCAGGGTGAGTAACAAAGTCAAAAGTGTATTTTCTTCCATGATTTGCTAAAACTTACACTTTTTCAATTTCACAGAAGACTGTCAGATAAAGCCCACAAGCTTTCATTCTAGGATTTTTAAGGAATTAAAAACATCCTTCTTCTCTCCCATTTATGCATTTTGTGCTACGTGACAGCAGAGGTTGAATTAGTTTGTTTCATATACAGCCAAGAAGAACATAAGCAGCAAATACGTAATGACAAAGGAGGGTTTTTCTGGCAGAAGGTCTAGGAGTAAAGACTAGAAGTCTTGGTTGGTCTAACCTCTGCTATTTTCGCTCAGAGATAACCACATTAATCAGTGTGGTCAGAGGCAGTGCAGTCTGAATGGTACAGGCTATTGAAGTGGATCCAGTCTGAAATCATGGAATATGATAATGAGTGGAAATGTGGACATGCTGACCTTGTCTGGCTTCACTGGAGGTACAGCACATGCCTTGGTGGCGGACAGGCAAAAAGTCTGAGAGTTTGAAGGGCAAGAACTGTAAATGCAAACTAGCTAAACATTTGAAGGACACGTAGTTACGTTCCAACTTCACTTGAAGCTGAAGTTTTGCAGTCAGAGAGTGATCATTTTGTCTGCTACCTTTCTTAGAGAGCATCACGTGGAATTCATTTTAAAGTAAAAGGCCTCTCTGATGAAAATATCTGTCCATATATGGGGCTTGAAACCACAGGAAGCCAAAACTGTGGGATCCTCCTATGTATCTTGGGTCGTCTTACATTGTGGCATTTAGGTTCAACTGGAGTTGAACTCTCAGCCTTTTGGTTTATACAAAACTAACAACTATATTGACATATATTATCAAAAATGGTTTTACCACACACGGTATCTACTGTCAGGTACCAGGTTTATGCATCACACAGGATTGTTCTGTAACTATTATCTTCTTCAAGAGTTTTTTCTCTTCTTCTGAAGGTTCTTGAGAACAAATCCACAGGTTTATATGCCTGTAATATGCATGTCTGTGAACTGGAAAAAGAAGTCATTGCACAAGAAATAACCAAAAATAAATACAAAGACACAACAGAACAGGCAAACTCTAAGTCTAAAGGAAAATAGATTTGTCATGGCACCCTGACTTGGAGTTGAGCACAATTATTGGTAATCACATGAAAAAGATAACTGGTACTGTAATTTTTTTTTTCATATCCAGCCTTCACTCTCTTCTTTGTAGTCATGTACAGTCTCTGAATTAAATCCGAGTTGACAGCCATATCCTTATTTCTCTCAATGACCCTTTTTGTGCATTTTTTAAAAAGGGGGAAGGGGATCCCCAATAGTGGATTTGTCAAGCGCAGGAAATGGTGGCACAGATGGAAAAGTCATTAGTGAGATGAGCTGTACGACAGAGGCGCTGGGCCTCAAATCTGTTGCAACTCAGCTCTGATTCACTGGGGTTACACTGAGGTTTCCCTCTGTGTGTTTTCCATTTCAATAGTTCATTGTTTCAAACCTCAGTTTTCTCCATTTGGATCATGAGCACACACTGCTTTTGCCGCCTCTGTCCATCAAGTCTAAATACTGGACCTCCTGATGTAGGCAGGAGTCCACAGATTCAAGCATTCAAACCATTCCTTTCTTAGAAAGAAGTGGAAACTGTGTAGTTATTCTTGATTTAGCTCTAAATGCTTGTGTCCTTTTTCACCAAAGTCCATAGGGAAAAAATCTGCATTTTCAGCTAGACTTTTAATGCATTTTTATTTTACTAAAAATAAGAAGAAAAAAACATATTTAAGGCAGCAGCAAATGATTTAACAGCTTCTTTGTTTTGTGATTTTTTCCTGATAATGTCACACAGTAGCCTTTCAGCTCTCTTTAGCTACATATATTTATCACTACCTTTTAGTTAGTTCTAAGTTAAAGTTTGGATAAAGTTTATCTTTTTTAACTAGTCCAGAGAACACCATTGGTTATTGTGATGATACTTATTTGTGTTGTGTTGTGTTATTTGTGCATGTTTTTTCCTGAACTTAAAACGTAACTACTTTTGCTTTACCTCTTGATTCCTCCTTTCACTACATCAGAGAACACTATAATATGTATAATATATATATTATGTATATAAACCTTTTAACAAATATTTTCTGTTCGATATTTTGTGTTAACATAGAGTACATCATTTGGCAATTTTTAGTGTTATTTTTTAGTGCAATGGTGCAAATCAAACAGATTCTGCTCTACATAAACTGAACAAATTACATTTCAAAAAATGCAGTAGCCTGATGCTATAACAGGCTCAGAAGACCATGGATGAGCTGAAGCTAATTTCAGGTAACACTGGGTAAAATGCAGTATCCACCCTGGATATTTCACTAGTCCATTTTAAGGCTGAAATACAGAGGCCAACGTCTCCCTTTTATCCCTGTTATGGGCAGTTTAACCATAAATGCATCTCTATGAAATGTAGGAGGAAGAAAGATTGGAAAGAACACTAACACACTAACATCAAACAGTCTTTAAACTCTCTGTTTTCCCTGTTGAGAAGTCACAGTGCATCAAAATATGCATTACTTTAACAGTGGCTTTTATAATATTTTCCAGAAAGAATAACAAGGCTGGCTCTGGGTGTAAATGTGTCTGATGAGAAACATGACCCAAAACTAATAATTCTAAGATAAACCAAAACAACGAACCATTAAATAAGAAACCTTCTTTGCTCAACACTCAGTTATATGTTTGTTATTGTTGAGATTGGTTTATTCCAGACCGTTAATAAACTAAACTCCTCAGGGAGCGGAGTGAAGTGACCGTCACTGCACACATGAAACAGAGTGACATCATCTCTATCTGCGAACACTTAGAGCTACACAGCAGTGATGAGGCGAGCAGCGATGAAGAGATTTAGTGAAACCAGATGATTTTCTTCCACTGAAGGCTAACATTAAAAAGTTTCATCCACTCAAACTCTCTGACAAAAATCTGCAGCTGTGACTCTTAGTAGGGCTGTAACAGTGCCGTAATGGTAAATGTTCCGGAAGTGGTTTCAGTGCCAGCATGTTTGCAGACCGCAGCACATGACTATAAAGAATATCTGCAGCAGAGGAGGAGAAGCAGTTAATCTTCATCAAAGCCTAGGGATCAGCAGTGTTTCTGAAGACAATTACACAGTGGATCCATGCAGATTAAAGAGCAAAAACAGCTTGTTTGTGATTAACTCACTATTATGGCAGATGTGGATGCTATCTACAAAACTGCCAGCAGATTTCAAATTTGGCACAGAACTGTGCCAAATGGTTCCACCTTCCTCAGACAGGACATGAGAGTTAACAGATAAATGAATGTATACTAACGCCCAGTAAAATGTGATGGTAGATAAACTTTCTGAATAGCTAATAGAAAACCTGTGAAGAATTACAGTATGAACCATTTCCCTGTCAGGTTTGACTCATTATGGACACAAAGCTTAAATAATTTACATTGTTTTCTTGTAGTCTATTTTAATTCTGTGAATGCACTAAAATCCTCGACAGACTACATTACATTTGCCAGTAAAAGAAAAAGAAAATGCACACAGGGACTGTGAACATATGGATCCAATAGAGCAGAAATCACTTCACATCTGCAGCTAAATAACACACATTCACATACTCTCAGCTATTGAATTGCAGTTTTCTTTCTGGGAAGTAAGCAGATCTTTCTGCTAAGGAAAGAGTCTGTTCTCAACACTTATAGCTAAAACACTAATACGGTGCGTTTTTCCAGAATCTGGAGAATGCTGCAAAACAGT